ACTCAGTGTCTAAATGTGTGTGTGTGAGTGTGTTGTGTGTGGAAAAAGAGAAGTGTATGCAGTATACAGCCCGTGTTACGAGTTGATTATGTATCCAGAAACCTGGCTGCTGCACAGCATGGCACAATCACAATGGAGGGTGATAATTTAATTGTGCTAAACGGTGGATTCCGTGTCAATGCTCCTCCAGCTGGGAGCTGTCAGGTAGTAATATCTCATTATGGCAGGTGAAGAACCCAGAGGAACCCTACCACGACACCTGTTAGAACAGGAGGAACCCCTGAAGGGAAACACACAGATGATTTTCTCTCTCCCTGACTTTCTCTCTCTCTGTCTGTCTGTCTCTCTCACACACACAAACCATTTAAATACCCCAAACTATTTATCTTTATCTATGTCACTTAAAAAGATTACTATGGATTATTTATATTTTTTTCTAAGGTTATTGCCATTGTTTGAAAAATGTCTTAGTTAAACAAATTCACACACCTTAGATTTTATTTTTTTAGTTACTGTTAAGTGCACATTTGGTTGGGTTGGTTTGGTGCACCTGAGCTCCTCCAGTACAAGACAGTGAGAAAGGGAAAGAAAATGAAAAGAACAGAACAGTCATGGCACCTTTGTTAATTGGCTCGATTAAAAGATCTCATGCAGACACCTTATGCTAACTGTTCTTTTTTTATGCTTGAAGACAGAAGGCAAATAGAAATTAAAATGTAATTTAACTTAAATATATATGAATAAACCTATTCTGTTTGACTTAAAAAATGTGTTTCTCATTCTTTTTATACATTAATTGTAAATCTGAACACAAAGTTGAAGCACTTTTTCTGTAATTGCCTGCCCTCCCATCTCAACGGTCTTTTTGTTTTTAATAACTTATTTACTTTTCTCTCCTTTTGTTTGCTTATAACATGTAAGGGAAGGAAGTGTAATATTCTCCCCTGTTGGGACTGATCAGAACTTGAAGGTGCAAGACATCCGTAGTGAGGGTGGGCATGCTGGGTGGTTAGGTGGGGGAGATAGTGTTGAGTTACTTTGCACCATTGTCTATAAAAGGTAAACAGTGTGACAGAGCAGATACAGCGGGTGAAAGTCAGTCAGACCCTTTTACGATGAAAGAGGAAATGGGATAGCCGAGGACACATGGCCCAGCAGTCACAAGACCCCTAAGATGAGCAGCGCACAACACTCCTCTAATACTCACCAATTAAGTAGAGGTTGTTTTGCACGATGATGAAACATTATCGCAGGGAACAATTCATGACTCAAAGCATTCCAGGCCATATGAGCCAACGGCTGGGGAACTTAAGTCCTAATCCTTCAAATGTGCGCAATATTGTCAGCTATATATAGACCAGTTCTCTTTTCTAACTGACCCTCCCTCGTCTCTGCCTCGAGTCTTCAAAGTCACTGGGGCTTTGTCTTTGAGAAAGTAGGCATGAAGACAGCATTTCATGCACTTATTGATTACTTTGGTTTGTTAGTTGTCCATTGTTGTTGTGTAATCAAGCATGAGGGGGGGCAGCTTGTCAAGGATTTATGAGCTACCACTTCAGTTCACCATATTTTCACTGTTTAGTATGTTAAAGCATATTTTGGGCTGATTTTCCAGAAAATCTGATTCAATTATTAATGTGAGTAAAGTTATTTCAACATCACCGGAATACACTGTAGTTCTACAAACAGGAATATTTTGCTGATTTTATTTTGCGAGCACGGACACCAAGGCTGTAAACAGTGTAATTCTATCAGAAAATATGATCAAATTCTAGATGCATCGGTAGTACCCACATTCAGCTGAATTCTGCTCCTTATTTTGCTCCTCATCAAATGTCTTTGTTGTGTCAATGCTGATCTACTGCACACAAACCCCTTTAGATCTCAGCGCTGTGTGTTCTCTGCTCCAAATATGAGAAATAAAATACCGTATGGTTGCCCTCAGATATTTTCAGAGAATTACTGCCGCACTTCCCCTTTTCTCTTTCAATAATATGAGGTAGTATTGTATGGGGCTTGTCGAAGGTGGGGGTGGGGCAGAGGGGGTTCTCTGCACTCTTAAGCTGCCTGAGCGCAGCCCTCCCAGCACTGCTAATAAATTATTAACTCCTGCTGACAAATACTGTTATGGAGCCTGCCGCAGATCTGTTGCATTCTTTAACAAGATTGCTGTAGACACATGTTACAGGAGGATGGAGTCTCCATCGCTGCTTTTCTCTCTCTCTATCCCCTTCTCTCGCTCACGCCTCAGCAGTTTGACTGATGGCTGGAGACCAAAGTAAAAGTGCCTGAGAGACTGAATATTTTAGTGGTAAAATAATACCACTTGATTTACTGTGTAATACAAAAGCAGTGCTTTGTTTAACTCTCACACTCCATTGAGGATGAGACGCTTGTTGCGCTGGAGGCTTGAGCTTTTTGGGTACATGAATAAAAAATACGTCAGAAACTACGTGCCCGACGCACGCACACACACCCACACACACACACACACGCACGCGCCTCCCCTTCCAACCCCCCAACCATACTACTGCCCCCTCTACTTAACATTACATGCATGTTCTGAACTTTGCTCTGACTTTTGATTTTCAATTAACAGTACCCAATTTTGAGATCACTTTCTATTTGATATAATTACAGGAAACAATTTAATGGTTGATTAAAATTGAGGGCTGAGTCCCACTAAAGACACAGCCGACAACACATCCAGGCACAGAGGCTAAAAGACAGAAGGAGGCAGAGACAGACAGGCAGTCAGGCACGGTCTCACACTCCTGCTCTGCTCATCTACCTGACTTACTGAGTCTGTTTGTACAGCTGCTGAGACACATGAGATTAACTAAGGCTACCATTGTTTAGGTCCCCCTTCGATGCCCAGGTTGATCTGTGACTATGTGCCAGAGTGTGTGTTTGTGAGTGAATGAGAGTCAGAGAGTGTGGTAATGTATAGACACATCAGCGTATGTTTCTGAATAATATAATTAAGTTCCCTCCAGACCTCTCAAATCTTCTGGAGTTGGTCTGCTTACTGTTTTGAGGTTTTAAAGAAAACATGGTGACACAGCCTTTAATTTATCTGCGCTATTTATCAAGAATAAATGTCCAGAGGTCTGCTTCAACTACAAACTCTCCAAACTCAAGACTAACCTTTCTGCTATTGAACTGCAACTGCACTCTTTTTTTCTTCACTCAACTTTTGCACTGTAACTTTGTCTTTTGTGGTTGTTTCTTCACTATTATATTTGATCATTTCATCATGATATTTTGATCATTTCTTCCCCCCTAATTTGTGGTATTTTTCATCTTATTGTCTTAAATGTTGCTTTATGCCTTTTGTAAAGACACTTTTGGAGGAGTAACAACACAAATAATCTTTCCTAGAATAGCAATTCAATAGTGTGTGTACATAGACAGTACGCCTCATCTGCCTTTCCTTTAGTAGGACCAAGAACTACTAGACCAAAAAACCTTGTTCATAAAAACCTTTCTTAAATGTAAGATATCTTTCCCTATCTCTCTGTGCCTGACTCTCATCAGAAAGTCCAAGGACACCACCGCACCACAGCCTGCCTCAACCTTGAGAGCCCCCGCCCCCCTGCCCCTCTCAAACCCCCCCAGGCAAGCTGAGGGTAGAACTAAAGTGCTGTCACACTGACCCCTGTGGATAGAGTAGGAGAACGGGGCAGATGGTGATCAGTGATCAAATGTACAAGAAGTACCCGGAGTATTTCGTCACATACAAACACAGACCCATACCTTCACACCACCTATTTGTCTTTCTTCTTCTTATCATGCACACACTGACATGCACACTCATCCTCTAGAGAAGATTGTGCTCTAAGTAGTCATTCTAGTCTTAATGGTCAATGTCCTGTAGTTGAGAAAAATAAGCAGAACAACAGCACGGGGAAAAGCGGATTAGGAGTTAAATATGCTCCAGCTCCTTCTCTCCACTTCACATCAGTAGGAAGGCCATATTATCCCCTTTTTAATTTAATACCAAATGCATAATTAGATTTGCTGGCACAGAGTTTAATTTCATTCATTGTAGCACACAGCATGAGAGCGGCCTCATTAATTGTGAGAAAAGCGGAATTGGTTGTATAAATTCTGCACCAAAAAGAGTAGGGTTGTAAAAGGGAAAAAATGAAATTAGAATTAACATGAGTTTCCTTTGCACCTGATATGTCAAGTACACTCTTCACTGTAATATTCATGAAAGCATGTGACAGATTTGTGAATTAAGTCTTCCACTGGTATCTTTTTATTTTAAAGCTGCTTATGTAGGATTTATTGGCCCGAGGGTACATTGTCAAACCAAAATGTTCATAATTTCCTAATTGGAAACAAAAGATGATGGTTTGTGCCGGGTGGTTTTTGTTTGTATTTTATTGCTACGGAGTGAAATCGACTCATGCAAGAAAAAATTATAAGATGCTTGAAGGGCAAAACCAAATCGAATCACATCCAAGATACAGGAGATTGCTCAGGTAGTTTAGAAATAGAAAAATATATATATATTATCACAGGAAAAAGCAACCTTGTTTACATGTGTACCTGTGTACCAGGAGTTAACTTATTTATTATTATTTATGAGGAATTGTACTTTTTATCTGGGTGGTAGTTCCACTGCCTGGCTACTGCCTGAGTAACAGTCTTGGGGTTTGGGCCAGGACCCAAGCAGGCACTGTTCCAGCCCTAGATCAAGCCATCCATCTGCATTAAACAAAGGATTAGGGACCCCACGGCCTGCTGCAAACTCCACAGCTCAGAGCAGCTACAGGCGACAGTCAGGTGGAGCATTCAGTCCACTCAGCATTATCTGCTCAGGAGCACTACTTATAACCCCAGTTACAGTCATGCACAATCACTTGTAACTGCCAGTCATCCATGAAATACTCAAGGAAACAGTGTTGCTTTTCTTGTATTCTTGTATGATCCTTATAAGATACAATTTATTTTTACTGACTCACTTTTCCTCTTCTTTTCTTGCTCCACAGCAGAGTCATGTCTTCCAAGCAAGCCACATCTCCTTTTGCCTCTGTGGTTGATGGGGATGATGCTATGAGTCAGGAGCACTTGTCTTGGGAGAAAGAGGAGAGTGCTGAGGCCCATGGCACACCACAGTTGCCCCTGCACAGTCTCCTCCATGGAAAAGCCCATCCCGATGAAATGCAGCCACTCAGCAGTGTACCACCAGAGAGTGATTGGGACAGCCTGGTGTCAGCCCAACAGCGCATGGTGAGACAAGTCAACATACTACATACATGCAAAAAATGTAATTGCTAGTTGCAGTCATATAACAAGCTACATAATCAGTTGTTGAATTACACTTCCATATGCCCGAACAGACTGAAGTAATTCAGAAGATTCAGTGAAGGCCTTCCAATCAAAGTAAACCTATGATTATGCACTAGTGTCTCACTGTCCTTTCTTGGGTATTCAAGTTAGCCCCAGTCCCATGATTCGCTAATGCTGTGAAACCTCTGGGATTCTGGGGTCTTCAGATAGGCAGCTCTGCCAAACACTAAACCATCAGCTATTGTTAAATAGCCAGGACCCCTAACTCTCCCTTGAATAATGTGAATGCCACATAAAATTGCATCATGACCGATGGAAGGGAATGTAGCCTTATCTGCTTCCTATAGCTTGAATTCTTGTTGTTATTAAAGAAACATGCCATGTCCTTAGTGCACGTGTGTTGCTGTGTATAAGCTCATATGCAGCCAGACCCCAAACACTGTACATTCTAAGTGCGGAGCTACTTTGATGTGAGCGGAGCGAAGAAGAGCACAGGCACTTGTGGGCTATAGACATGGGAGGCAGGTGGTTGTCTGTGACAGACGGGTCTGTGGTAAAGAGACCCAGAGGGCCCCTGAAGTAGCTCTGCAGTTGGCCACTGAGACCTTCAACAACTCAGCACTGCAGCACAACACACACACAAACACACGCGCGCGCACACACACACACCCCCAAACAGATACATGAATAACCACAGTAGCAGACTGCTCCTCATGATGCTGGGGTGTGCATGCTGACAGTGTAGGTAATTGACAGGCAAAGGATCGCTCAGGTGTTGTCTTCATCTGTGGTACATTATGGGATTTCTGTAACATGATTTTAGCAAGTTTTATGATGTGGAGCTAAAAACACCTCAATGAAGTTTATAAATACCTAAAACCAATACTTTAAAAAATATTATAAATACAATAATACTACTAAACAATAATTATATAGCACCTCTGTAAAATAGTGTTTAAACAGCGGGAAATGGCAAGAAAATGTTAATGACAAAAAGTCCTAAATTATGCAATATTTTATACCAAAAAATGAAAAAACAAGTAAATCTTAAAAATCTTAAAAAGTATCAGAAGGGACTATATTTGCAATTATATTAAATTTTTAATATTATTATTATTATAATTATTAAATATTTTTATTTTGTTTTTGATAGTGTGCACATTGCACTGTAACATCTTACGAGAAAGAACAATAGTATCCTCTGCAGAGGCTGTTTTAATTTACAATATGAATCTTTTGAGAAAAGTGATGTGATTGATTGAATAGCATTATAGAAAATATAGGTCAAAATATAATCTTTTACTGAGGTTAACGAGGCTAACAGCCCACAAAGTAACATCAAGAAAGATTAAAGGGTTATACACGTCTGAAAACATATTTTTTCATTTGATTTGAATCCATCTCATTATGGCTGGATGGATGACAGCTCTTCTAAATGTCAAAAGGATGAATGTTTTTTTACATTATATATATATATATATATACATCTTTTAGGCTTCATCTTGTGTTATAAGTGTAAAGAAATGTTTTTGGACTTATTATATTTAGAAGTTACTTAGAAATAGAAAAGAGAGGAAAGGTAAAATGGAGGACGATAGAGGAAAGATAGAGAGAAGAAAAAAGGCATAAGGCGAAAGGAATGAGAGTGTTGCCTTTGCTGATTACCTGACTCCACTGCTGTGCCATGCGTCTGTGTGGGCTGTGCCCTGAACCTGTGCCAGCTGATTAACCCAGCACTGCTCCACTCCCCTCAAGCACTCTCTACTGTCTCTGCCACACTGCATAATCATCCAACACAGGGCTGGGAGGTGCAGAGTCGGCCGGTAGGTCGTGCCACCCTGGCCCTTGGTACCAGATCACCCTACACACCACTGCAACTCCGCCTGGAGCTCGACATGCAACACAGGGATGAGAATTTGGCACTGTCAACATTCCTGCCCAGTTTACCGCATTCCTGACTTTTCATTTAGGATTGTCAGTGGCTCCAGACACGGTTCTATCATTTAACCCTGCTGTATTGCACCTCTGTTATCACACTGCTGTTTATTAAAGCTCACTTTTCCCTGATAGGCGTGCACTGTGTTGGATATGAATGTGTGTCATGTTTAATTCTCTTTACTATGGAGGGCCAAAGTTTAAATCAGAGCTAAGTGTTCCCCCGTTAAAGACTGCAAACTCCTGGCTGCTTAGCTACCTTCTGCTTTCTCAGACTCCACAAACCATAATTAACACCACCTTCTGTCAGACGCAACCCACAGCCATGGTCTGTGTGCTGACTATACACTCCCATGTGCAGAGTATTCTCTCCCTCTCTCTCCCTCCAAGCTCTCTCCCATTCTTCTCCCCATTTCCTTCATGTCTCTGTTTGTGCACAGGGAGCACTCAGCAAGTCAGCCAGAGACAGGACCCTTAGTTAAATACTAAACCATACACAGGTGGGACTGAAAAACAACAACAGCTTGAGACAGGACACAGATTTACGATGGCTCAAGGCACTCAGCTGAGAATAGGTCTCCACTAGAAAATGAACAAATTACACAGCAGTCACCCTAACACAAATGCACACTCAAAAGCAATTTGAGAAATTACAGTTGGGAGGTTTCTCTGTGTAGTCTCCGCGGATGAAAAGTAAAGCCTGAGCACATTATGGATATGCCCTATGAAAGTGTACCTAATCATTTCATCTAATTTTTTCACTTGTCATGTCTCATTTACCAGCGCAGCTAGCTCTGTTGAAGATACAGAAGCTTCTGCATGAAAGCCAGAGAGGAGCCAATTGATATGGCCAAATCGCCCCTGAGCTGCAGAAACCTAGCAATCACTGTATTTGCATGAAAAACTGTCAAAAGCTCAATGGAGCCCTGACAGAACAGAGTAACACACTCATCACATATACAAATATACAATATATATATATCATATATACAAATCCCATCCCTTGTTACCACCCCTCCCAACTTTTGTTTGTCTTACAGGAATCTGACAGCAATAAAGTATGTTCCCTGTACTCCTTCCGGAACAATTCCACTTCCCCACACAAGCCGGAGGAGGGGGCCCGGGAGCGAAGTGACCTGCTGAGTGGATCAGCATTTGGAACTCCAGAGCGCCGCAAAGGAAGCCTGGCAGACGTAGTGGACACGCTGAAGCAAAAGAAGCTGGAGGAGATGACAAAGACAGAGCAAGACGGTATGACTCCCTCTGTGTGTGTGTGTGTGTGTGTGTGTGTGTGTGTGTGTGTGTGTGTGTGTGTGTGTGTGTGTGTATGTGCTTGGGGTGTGGGTGTAGGACTACCTTTTTTCCTCCTAAGTGGGCCTGATCTTCCCCAATTTTTCCCTTTTTCATTTTATATGTTTCTGGCTTTCCGACTATCCGCCTCTTTTCTCTTGTATCTTTCTGTCTCATACACTCATGCAGGCACACACAAGCTGGGAATACTGACGTTACTGTGTTTCCAGTTTGTTCTGAATCTCTTCCAATGTGACAAAGACTGTGTGGCAGTGCACCTCAGCATAAGTGTGGTCTTCGTCCGTGCCAAGGCAAACTCTTTGACTATAAAACTCATAGTGCTGACCTGATGCCAGGAACATTACCTCTTTTTATTTTTCTACACAGAACACTTTTCACTCAGCGCAGGTATTCATCAAAGCATGCTATCCACAAACAATCCAAGCCCTTCACACAGGTTTTACCTGTTGCCTAATTAATTCATCTTATTCAACACACCATGAAGATTTTTTATTTTCCTACAATAACATGCAGAGAGAAAAAATCCTTTTCTGTGATAAGACTGTTAGGTCTATGTCATATCTGCACCCCGTTTCACCCGGCTCGGCTCTCCCTCCCACAGCCTGCAGTCTATCAAGAGTATGGCGGAAAAACAAATATTTGAAAGAGCTGCTGAAACACATCCCCCTTCTTAATTAGGGCTGTAGTAATATAACTACATCCAATCAAATGTTAAACCCCCTTGGGAATGCATGTGTCTCATTTAGTGTCTGGGGAGCTCTTAGCTTAAGCACTTCATCAGACGAATAAATTAGACCTCTGTTAGCCTAAAAATAATTTGCCACTTCTTTTTTAAGTGTTCGTTTGGTGATCTTTGTATCAGAGCATCACAGGCCTCTCACCAGATAATCATTTAGCCACATACAGATATGGGGACTGATTATTTGTGGTGTCGTTTAGATAATGAAAGACAGAACAATCAGTCCTTATTCATCTGAACACCTATAATTTTGAGATCATTTAGAAAGCTGAAAAGTTTGGATTATTGAAATGGATCGAAATGACCAACAGAGGTCAAGATGTATTTGAAACGTTAAACACACAGAACAAATGGTCCCCCTAAGCACGCCAGCATTTTTCACCCTTTATGCTAATTAAGACTTTTGTCGACATGTGATGTTTAATTGTACTTACTGTAATCGATACCTTTTATATCAATTAATTACCAGTGGTTTTGGCAATTTAGCAAAAAATTGTATTAAAAAAAATCCAAGCCTCTTATGAATATCACAATTAATACTCATAACACTGCAATACAGTAGATACATTTCTCTCTGTGATGAGTTCAAGTTTTCCCTGGGTTTATGGAGGTATCCTTTAAATGCTCTAGTTTTATTCCACACCAGACATGAATATTAGGAATTATATTCTTGCTACTAGTCTTCTTGACATGTTGTAGATCCCAGGATACAAGAGAAGGTTGTCCCACTGCACCTTACAGGACATATTTTGGAATGTGTCAGTGAAGCAGTTCTGTTACTAGTTCTTTGTTTTACCCTGAGGTAAGAATATATTTTATATGTGTCTTGTTTTTTGCAGAGTTGATTTTCAGGGCAAGATTGTCAGTGTGAACTGTGGCTACGGCGGGCGTTATGGTAATGAGCCCCAGCTGGTGAAGGCTGGTTGTTGCAGTAATTTAAATGGTCAAGTGCAGCTTGTAATCCAGGGCCGTATGTTAGCGCAGGGAGGAGAGGGTGCTTTAGAGTGTCATACAGCTGTTTTAATCTCCTGTTAATAATAGAGACTTGGTCTGCCTCATGCTCTGTGTATCATCACCACCTAAATAAACTCCCTTGTTGGAGGAAATTAGTTTCTGAGCAGGGAACACAGCAGAAGACAAGAGCCTCACAAAGTTCAGTATGCTGTCTCCAAGCTGCAGGAACTGAGAGATACTCTGTTCTTGAGAGCACTTGAGGAAGCTTCAGCGGTGATGATCAGTGATTACTGTAAAATGGAGGGAGAAGAACTGCCAAAGGAAAACCTTGTGAAAACCTTTGAGAAATCATAATCTTATGTCTTTGTTTGTCGAGAAAGAGATCATTGGAATTTGAAAAGGACAGGATTAACCCATTAAAGAACATACAAGATGGTCAGAGAAGCCATTTGTTGTCTTAATGGTGTTGCTAATATGGCATAAGCAACAGATGAGCTAAATATATCGCTTATCCGAGCATGACAACTGCTTGTGTCTAATTCTGCTGCTTTGGTGTCTGCCTGGTTGGGATCACCGAGGTCCTGAGAGACTATTCACCATCTGCTACCATTCTTCTCTGGGCTTCCTCGTCTGGTCAACATAGTTCATTGTCCTGATGGACTGAGGATAAACGCAGTGACCTCAAGTGTAGAGGGAAAACAAATGGTCTGTGGTACAATTTTTACACAGTACATTGCTCATATATATGGAACGTGAAATCCCACTTAAAGTGATGTTAACATTGGTGGAGGCTTTGGGTTGGAAAGCTTCCCAGACATTGGTATCCAAATATTGTTGACCATCTGTCTCTATTAGCCATTTATTAACTTTTTAATTTATGATTTTTTTATTCTGTGAGTACCAAAGATGAAATTCCAATCACCTCCATTATATTATAGTGGTGCTACAATAATCAAAGCCTGATGTTTCACTTTTTCAGTAAAAAAAAAAAAAAAAATAATAATAATAATGGTTAGGCCTCAATGTGGAAAAAAAGGTAATTTTGCTGACCTTTAAGTAGGAATAAGCAGGTTAGACAAAACCTTAGCGAATCAATTAAAAATAGTAATATGTTGGCTTGTTTTACTTACACTGTATGTCTCCATTCAAAAAGCCAATTATTGGCTAGTTCCCTTCATTGACCATGATGTCTTATAAATATAACAATGGAGGTAATATTATCTCCATTCTTCCATCTCTATATATTTTTACCCTTTCACCCTCTCTATCTTTCCACCCTTCCTCTCCATTTCTGGTCCTTAAAGTGCTTTAAGTGCTTGTGACTGTGCTAATGAATGAAAATGTCCTCCCAGCAGCAAGCACCGCATTTAGCTGAATAGTCACCTTTGCTGTAAAAGCTCTATTAGGCCCAGTTGCCAGCAGGGCTAACGATTGTGCCCCATGTTTATTTACTAGGTATTGTAAATGCATTATTTATGGATAGGTCTCCAGACAGCACTTGTCAAGAGTTAAAAATGTCAGTATAAAGTATTAGGGGAAAAAGAAAAATACCCACCATTATAAAAATCCAAGGTGACCTTGATTTGATTCACATGCAATTAGAACAGTTTTATATAATGCACTAAAGTATGAATCAATACTGTGCAAGTCAACACAGAAATACTTGTGTTCAGTCTTTATGATCGTCCCCAAGACAAGGACGCGTAATTGGGTTTAAGCTTCCTGCCTTAGCTTTTAGGGATTTTCCTGGACTGAATCTGCGTGTTGAGTCCTTGCCAGTAAAACCAGCACTGAATGGGATGCATTTATGTATCTTTTGTCATCTTCGTGTTATTGAGTGGTTTGTTGAAACAGACAAGGAGTAAAGAAACTGTCTAAGTCAGAGGCATATAGATGACAAACAAAAAAATAAACAAAATAGAGAACTAGACAGCATATGTTAATATGTTTAGTAATATGGTAATACGCAATTTGTAAAATTGTTTCAGTCGAGCCATGTTCAGTAAAAATGATAGTTAAGTCAACCTTTTTCCACCATTTCACCATCGTTGACTACAATAGCTATGGTATACAGAATCACAGTATGGCTCAGTTCCCTGGATGCAGTTGAGAAAACAGTGCTGCGTGTGATCCAGGGCCATCATGCTAGTGAACAGGTGTGGTGTAAGGACATTTGACACAGCTGTTAAACTGACAGTGGACACTTTTAACATATAATCTACAGCTATAATCTATAAATATCAATAACCATTTTTCTCATTTGAGAAACAGGCAGGCAGACACACAGACAGTAAAATAAATTAAGAAAGTAGAGAAAATAACACAGAAAGAGTCTTTCAGACCAGTCAGAGTGGATACAGTAGGTGCTCAAGCAGAATACTCAACACCTGGAGCCCTTTGACAGAGTCATGGCTAATTAGCTTAGCAAAAGGGAGCCATACCACCATTCAGCCAAACTGTGACCCCTTTTTAATCTCAGGTAGAAGGATATTTAATGGCTACTGAGAAAAGATTCCCCTATTACAGCAGCAGGTAACCAAGCCATTGCTTGTGACAAAAAAACAGCACAACATGGTGTGCCATTGTGAACTAACTGTGTTAGGGCATGGGGTTACATGTGTTTACTGTATGTGTTCCCGTGTTATCACTTAGACCTTTCTTCCTCTCCCTCTGCCTTTATCACCTCTCCTCTATTTATAAGTGTAATCCCCCTGGCGAGGTTGTGTATTATCACTGTATAATGACTGTGCAGTAGGTTGAGTGTGGGGGAGTGATGAGCATTGTGTGTGTAGCCTCAGGTCATTATCCTCTATTACAACAGGCCATGTAATGAGATTCAGGGATGGGTGAAAGCTTTGGAAGAGAATAGGATCAGCTCTAAGCCTGTGGTCTGATTAGCACTGATGAACTCTTGACTCTGTTGTAACACTGTCCCCTGTCAGTGTCACAACCCCTGCTGACTCCAAAACAGAGGCTCACTGGAGCTGCAGGTGCTTAACAGCAGCAGCAGATTTATCTTTTGGAAATGTATTTAGTTCAAATGTAGCATTAAAAAAGATTTTAAAAAGGTTTTCTAAAGGTATATTACTACAGGTATATTATCTATAATTAAGTCTGTATTATACATTACTTCCCTCCCCCCAAACAGACTGATGCACTTTCTCCCCTCCTCTTTTAGTTCTATCCCTTCTCCCCTCTCCTCTCATCCCAGCTGCCATGTCATCTGGTTCTGCTTTATCCCACCTAA